AGATTTAAAATTACTTATTCAGACCAAGACGCAGCTATATCAAGCAAGTTAAAGAAAAAGCTGGAGTCAAATGTCGTATCAACAGCTAAAGGGACATTTTGATAGAAGATCGTGGAAGGTGGCGGGACTCATCACAAGACAAGAGCACTTGCTGTTAAATTATGAATGAATGAATTCAGAATAAGTAATTTTATTATTATTATTTGACGACCTCAGTGGTCTAGCACACCGCTTTACGTCCGGTGGTAGTGGGTTCGATTCCTCAAACACTAATATTTGAGTATGATTGTTTGTATAGGTCTGAGTGTTTTCTATGAATAATATGTATGTATTTATGAATAAAAAATATATATGTATTTGTATCAGTTGGTCTAGTACCTATAATACAAGCTTTAGCTAGCTTAATATGGGTAATCTTGGGTATTAGACAGCTGATGTAAATACTTAGATTTTTTTAAATACATACATAATATACATAGAAAACAACCAGACTAATACAAACATGAATACAAATGTTTGTACCGTGCGAGGAATCGAACCCGCGCTCATCGGAAGTAAAGTAAAGCTAAACACAAACTAAAGTAAACACAGAAACTTAAAAAAAAAAGAAATTCATTATAACCTATTTTAGTTTAAAAAAAAAAGAAGATATTTCCTAATATTATAAACGTGGAAGTTTGTGTGCTCTTTCACGCAAAAACTACAGAATGTATTTGAATGAATAAAACTTTACAATAATATCAAAAAAACAAAATCAAAATAACACAGACTATAAATTTTACGCGTGTAAAACCGTGGGCACTATAATTTTGACTATTGCTCTTTTAAATAAATGTTATTTTAATAAATTGACTTACTCTTTTCCCGCCAAAAATATGTCGTCCATTTTTAATTCTCTGTGGTTCTTCATATTTTATATTTCTAATTAAGAATATTTTTTTACGCAATTATGCAATGCTATGGCAAACAGTCTGATAGCTATATTTTATACTTATTTATATTTTGTAATTGTAAAAATTACACAAGTAATTCTCAATATATTTACAATGTACAATTATTTACTTCTTCCAAGTATGTTGTTGTTTTTAAAAATGTCTTCATAGGCAGGCAAAGGTATCTATACTACACTGCCTTCTTCAAAAATTTTATGACTCTATAACGCTTTAGCCTGATTTCCCAATAACCAGTGTCTTAACAAATTGAAAGAAAAAAGTCTACAGTGCTGTCATTATAATTTATGCGTTTCGTTTCACTGGATTTTGGTGTCAAAATATCACATTACCAAAAAGATGAATTTTCAATATGCTATGGTATGTTTTGTGGGTCAATATTAAGTGATGCAAAATTAATAGTGTACGACGCGAAGAAAGTCTGTTCATGAACTAGTTCAGCTTGTCCGCACTGCGTAACATGTGTATTATGATATCTCACTTATATACATACATATCTACATATTATTTATATATGTATATTTTAGTATTGATTGCCCGGGATTATTATTCACTAACTAACTAATATAACTACTAAGTAATAGAAGAATAAATATATATATTTATGCATACTACGTCATACATTTAAGTTATAAAGTACCAGCTGACCCGCACAACTTCGTCTGCAACATTTATCATTATATTTCGCCCAATTTGTATAATATACTTTTAAATCATATCCTATATATTATTCTGATATATAAGCTATATTAATGAAAAGTTTCATCAAAATCCGTTTAGTAATTTTAGCGTGAAAGAGTAACAAACATCCATCAATACATACAAACTTTCGCGTTTATAATATTAACTAGCTACTCGCCCCGCTTCACCCAGGTGTACATGTAATATACATATAAACTTTCCTCTTGGATCACTCTATCTATTAAAAAAGTCCGCTTCAAAATCTGTTGCGTAGTTTTAAAGATTTAAGCATACATACAGACGGACAGACAGCGACAGCGACTTTGTTTTATACTATATAATGATAAGAGATTAAGAATATTCATTCTAAGAAAATTACACAACTATTTAACATTATAGAAAAGTAAACAACAAACATAGAGACAATTTTTTTATACAAGTACCTTATGTATATATACTTTCATATGCAGTTAGCGAAAAGATGTTAATTTGAAATTACAAACACTTAAATTTTATTTATTTGTATAGATATACATACATATAGAAAGTGTCATATCACTATTTGTAGTTAAAACGTATACTCGTAGTAATTGTAGCATTTCGTTGTTATAAATTAGAGAGAGTAACATGCCATAACACACGTCTGGCCGTATCAATAACGGAGTCCTTTTATATTACGGTAGATTACTATTTGTCGTTGTTAACAAGAGTTTATTAAATAAATGTGTCATTTATATATAAATATAATAATAATTTATTATATTAAATAGTGTCAATATTATAATAGACTAGAATGTTTTTTTTTTCAACACAGTGAGGTCAACGGATTTCCTTTAAATCCAGATCACCTTAAAAGAAAAAGGTTGCTTATGATAATACTTATTGACCTTAAAAACATATTAGGCACTATATTTATTATACCTTTGCCTACCTTTTACCTTTTTTATAGGTGACATATTAGGCGCATTGGAAATTCATTATTTTCAAATATGGAACGATTTGTTTTTAAATGCGTTTGTATATTGCCGTACAATAGGTAGTAAGTCACAGAAATGGTTTTAAAAATATCGCTCTTAATATCTAAACTTTAAGTGCGATTTTCTCTAAACGATTTTTCTTATCGAATCACTGCGGATATATAGCGGCAGGGTAGTGTTCTTATTTTAAATATTTTATAATAGTAATAATAAGTAAGTAATATTATTTTGAATATTACTTACTTTTATTGAATTTGAATTTGAAAATGGATTTTTTTACTCTTTCGCGTAAAAACTACTAAACGGATTTTGAAGAAACTTTGCAGTAATATTGCTTATGATGTATAAGAATAACACACAGGTTATAAATTTCATACGGGTGTAAACCGCGGAGACAGCTAGTATAATATAATGATGCGAATGCGTAGATGTGATAGTCAGAGGTTTTGTCTACTGTCGAATTCAAATTTGATAATTGGAAATTCATCAATCCCTACTAGTACCTAGTACTAATCCCCCAGGACTCACCTCACCCTCATTCCCCCAGGACCCAATCATTCGAATTTTGAAAAATTGAAAATTCGAATTTATATTTGATAATTGAAAATTCATCAGTCCCTACTAGTACCTAGTAAAAACTCCCCTCCCCTCTCCCTAATAGTACCTTGTACTAATCCCCTCTTTCCCTCCAGGACTACTAGTTAGAAACGCATTTAAATAACGATGCGTTCCAAAATTTAAAATTCGAACTCGAGTTCGATAATTGGAAATTCATCACGTTTTCGCATGTGACCTATAAAATTGGATTAGACATAATACGTTATCCGATTCTTTTGTACCAACCTTCCAAGAGCAATTTTCACCTAAATCGATTTGACAATTTCGTGGGCACGTGACCGGAGTGCTCAAGCGCGCCTCCTTTATATCATAAATAATAATTTTGTCGCCACTAAAACCTGAGGGTACGTGCATTCATTTCATGCCCGGGAATCAAATTATATACGTTATTTAATTTATATACCTATTGTTATTTATACCAACATTTTTTATGTATGAATAGTGCAGCCGAATGTCGTAACGCTATATAGGTGAGCATGAAGTTAGCTCAGTTAACCCATTGTGGCAAATTCACTACAAATTTATAACTATGATTCCTAGTGAGGGCCGCGTGGAGGCCGATCTGAGTACATTGCTAACAATGCAATTATCCCCACACAATTTCTGAGAGACAAATGTCTCAGTCACATGCGTCCTCAGTTTATGCTAATCCTAACAGGTGCGGGGCACAGACGAAACCTGGAGAATAGCTTACTATAAAATAATCTAGATGCATACAGCAGATGGCTTTAACATACAATATTATACTTAATGTACTCGGAAATTAGATTGATAATAAGTAAAAATAGTACAGTAAATACCTACTTATGTTCAATAAATATTACAAGAACAGCAACTGACAGAACATATCAAAATAAATCAATCTAAATTATATCAGTCGCAAGCAACGGAATTATCACGTCACACACAAATACTGCATGCAGCGAGCTCTGCGAACGGGGACCGATTTCTACGCGATTGTTAGCCACTTTCACCAGTGAAACTGGACTTTTTGTTCTTTAGCACACGGCGCGAGTTGCCGCGCGCTCCAACTGTTCGAATCGAATTCGAAAATCGAACACGGAATTCGAAATCACTTCGTAATTTTAAAAATATTTGTTTATTGTATCATTTTTGTTGGCTGGTTATGTGAATTCGAAATTGGAATTATAGAATTTATTTTTTATTCTACAATTTTTGTTGACGATGTGAATTCGAAATTTGAATTGTAGATACAAAAAGTTTTATTCATAAATGCGATTATTTTTTATGTTTAATGTTTGGATGGCGAATATTTCTGCCGTTGTTTCCGTAGATAGAGAAAAATAGCGCGGTAAAATTACGGTGCAATATTAAATGCACATTTATTGTTATCTAGAATTCGAATCTCTATATCAAAAAATATGTTATATAAGTGTATATGAATATAAAAACTTTTTAAAATGCAATTAAATGCATTACATGGCGTAAGTTTTGTTTGTTTCTAAAGTAGTAGGTAGGTACCTACGTAACTTTATTAATATTTCAAGACAACGATTTGATATTTACATAATTATGCTTTGTGACTGCTTAAAATATTTTTATATGCATACTTTCTGTTTTTTTTTTATTATAGATTATAAGTGCAATCATAGAGTAGTTACATTATTTTACAAGAACTTTATATATTGGTTTGCATTATAAACATACTTCCTTCTGTGAAATTATTATCAAAATATAAGTAGTCAATTGTAGTAGGATACGAATGTGGGTAGTTGAATAAAAATATATTTCTGCGTCAAAAAATAAAACTTACCATTTTTTAATTTCTCACGCAATATGTACACTTCCAAAAATAAATTCCGATATTCCGATACACTTAACTCGCACAATAGTGCAGCACTTGCAGTACAGTCGGCCACAAAAATATCACGACAACGGAAAAAAAACATCCATAAAAATAGCACCTTCCAAATATGAACTTTTATCGACTAGTTTTTTTTTCGAAATATAAAATCGACAAATCACTGTCCTATCGTCTGCCTTAATCGATAGACAGTCGTGGACTGGACGAGCGGCCGAAAGTTTCGCCTGTCGGCTGTCGTTACCCATTCCAAAGGTGCGCATACGCATATACGCCGACGTAACTGTCTTGATACTTTGAATTGAATTTTGATGGAATTAAAAATGAAAGTGGTACGTTTTATTGTTTTCTATATTAGTACGCGTGCTGTTGACCTTTGTATCTATTTTTATAGTCACATTTATGATAGTATAAACAACTAACTTACCCGCGTAACTTCGTCTGCATCTCTTACTTGACATATATCATTATATTTCACCAAGTTTACATAATATCTTTTCATATTATAGCTTAGGTCTTACACATATGTGTAAGCTATATTACTGTAAAGTTCCATCAAAATCCGTTCAGTAGTTATTGCGTGAAAGTGTAACAAACATCCATCCATTCATACTCACAAACTTCGCGTTTATCACATTAATAAGATTTTATTATATGGTAACGGCGATTTTACCAATAGACTTTATATCATTTATGTGGTGAATATAAGAAAATATACTATATTTTTTTAAAAAACTATGTTCTACGATAGTTTTACAGAGTTATTGTATTTATTTCTTTAGTTTAATTATAGAGTCTTATCGAATATTTGAGTAGAGCATCTGCTTATCAATTACGATTATTATCAACAATTTATACTATAAGTATACAATTTCTACTTAACTGTGTTTTATGCACGTATAAATTATTGTTATAAATAATGTTAATTTTATTTAAAATTAAAAGTATAAACTTTTACAATATAAACTTATTTACAAAAATATTCGGAGTGTGCATAATAATATTATGTTATCTGTGGTATAACAAAATGACAGGGTAATCGTGGTATAACGTGGTGTTGGTGCAGTATTTTTTTAGCTGTATATGGCTACCCTTAACTTTTTATTACTAGCTAGCTACTACTTGGTAATCTTAAGGGTATAAAAATAGTCTACTACCTATTCTCAGGACTACCAAATTTACAACAAATTTCTTGAAAATCGATCCAACCGTTTCGGATAAGTTCGTTAAAATACACAGTAATGTAATTTTTTTATATATCTTACTATATTAGTATATAAATGCAGAAGTTTATGAATGGATGTTTGTTACTCTTTCACACAAAAACTACTGAATAGTGTTTACAATAATATAGCTCATATATAAAAAAAAATTTAGGCTACAAATTTCAGGGGGGTGAAACCGCAGGCACAGTACTTATATATAAGTTACTAGCTGCGCCCGCGACTTCGTCTAACCTTTCATATCCCTTTTCAACCCCTTGCAACTCTTTTTTTGCATTGTCCTTTGTCAGGGTCTAGACTATCTGTGTACCAAATTTCATTTAAATCGGTTCAGTGGTTTCGGTGTGCAAGCGAGACAGACAGACAGACAGATAGAGTTACTTTCGCATTTATAATATTTGTAAGAATTATTGTCTATGATAAGAAATTAATAAAGTATCAAGATGGTTTACCTCATTAGCGTTAAAAGTCATTTAAAGTCAAACATAGCTTGTTTCCTTTCACCCCCAACGTATGTCAAAATATATAAAAAATATATAGTTACCAGTTTGTATAATTTCATTAAAAACTAATTAATATATAATAACATAATGATAATAATAAACTATGAAAATAAAGCCTAGTAATAATAATAATAATAATAATATGTTGCCAAAAAAAAATGAGAATTTTTGGATAAAACTAGTAATAATAATAATAAAAAAGCCTTTATACTAAACTCATGGCGAATAGTAAGAAAATTTCTTTCTTCATCACATAATTCATCCATGCTTTGCTAAGGCCCGCGTGTTTGAATATATTACCCCCGTAAAAAGGGAGATATAATAAATAAATAAATATATATATATACATATATATAATAATACTTCTAACTCTTTATTGTGCACACATAAAGAATAATAATATAGAATAGAAAAAGAATAAAAAAGAAAGTTAAATAAAAAAACATTAAAACCCTGTACTGTCAGAAAGATATAACTATAGAACCAACATTATAGATATTGTTACAAATATTTTCTAAACATATTACAAAATGAATCATCAACATTTTTTCAGAGTTTTTTAACGAGCATAAAAATAATCATCCATATGAAGTCTTTAAGATTTTTTTTTCAATCATTACAAAAGAAAAACATATTTTTGAAATGAACACAAAAGTATCTTTTTTTTTTTCAAATACCTCTCAAGTAGTTTTTAATTCATCGCAAAATGAATTATCTATTAAAAATTTCGACAGATATCTGTCCAAAAGAAAACCATCCATAATGTTTAAAGGAACACAAAAATAAACAATTTTTTTCTATAGGTAGTAACTTATCTTTTTTTAATTCGTCCTCAATTGAGAAACACACTATTAATATAAAAATGTCAAGAACGAGTGGCAATAAATTTGTTAAGAAGACGTATCTCTCGCATAGCTTAGCTAAGCTTGAATTCCAATCATATTGACAAATAACTAGTCTCCGCACGCGACATCATTTACTTTTTCAACTTCGACTTTGAAAAATATTGATGTTTATAATTGAAAAATAATTGATAGAGATTATTTACTAGAAATATGTTAAATAATAAATAAATATTCTTTATTGCACTTAAATACATTTGAGTATATTAATTACAGCTAATGTTAGGACTTAAAAGATGATCTCTTGTCAACCCAATAGAGCGTGGCAAATGTTAATGGGTTAAAATGTGCAAATTATATTTTTTATGAAAATGTCAAAATAATTAAAACTAAACATAAAAATATAATGTCCAAAATACAGATACTAATACAATACACATAAAGATAAAAAAAAATATACATATTAATATATAATATGTACTTGTTCTGATTAAAATATTTATGTATTAGTCTATCACATTGTTACTACAGCACTTTTATGTGGCGATGCAGGAAAATGACAAAAAGTTAAGTAATAGTAATCTCTAGACCAGTGATTCCCAAAGTGGTTTATATCGACCCCCAGGGGTCTATGATAAACTGCAAGGCGTCTACGATAGCGGTTATCTTGTTGTTTTTACTTTACGTTTTTAACATAATGTTTATTAGACATGTATTTATTTTAGGTATATAATTAATTAATTAAAATTATGATATGTTATAAAATTCAACACAATATAAATTGTTATGAACAAATAAAATTAATGAAATGAAAGAAAATGAAACACTAAACTTTAGGGTCTACCCAAAACCGAATAATATGGCAAGGGGTCTACGACACATGAAAGTTTGGGAACCGCTGCTCTAGACAATTCACACAGTGCGATTTAGACCCAAGCTAAGCTTGTATTATGGGTACTAGATAGAAAACACCCAGACCGGCACAACAATCATACTCGTGAATACATATATTTCTTCCCGGCGAGGATTCGAACCCGCGACCATCCGGAGTTAGTTGGTCTGCTAAACCGCAAGACAACTAAGGTCATCAGTAAAAAGTCTTGCAACCCCGTCACTACAAAATTATAATAATATGTTATATACATTATTTCCATACAACCTTTCATCTCCCCTTTCATCCCTTACAACCTAGGTCCTTTCTCAGTGTCTAGTTTATATGTGTACCAAACTCCATTTAAATCGATTCAGCAGTTTTGGCATGAAAACGTGAGAAGAGATATGCTACTTTTTAATACGAAAAAAGGGTTGTAAGGGGTTGAAAGGGGAGTTAAAAGGTTGTATGGAAGTATCATCAATTTTAAAACTACAAGCATGAAACATGTGTTTTAGGTTGTTGTTTAAATATAAATAAACATGACATTCAAAATTTGCAAACAAATTACTCTTAATGGAATAAAATAAAATAGGGGATGAAAGTTTGTATAGATATCTTTTCTTTGTCTTTTCAATTTGCCTAATTAAAAATGTTATCCAACATTCACTATTCCATGCGGACGAAGTCGCGGGTAAAGCTAGTTATTTAACATTGATTCTGTAAAGGATCTTCAAAAGTCGCGGCCACAGCTAGTTATTTAACATTGATTCTGTAAAGGATTTTCAAAAGTCGCGGCCACAGCTAGTTATTTAACATTGATTCTGTAAAGGATTTTCAAAAGTCGCGGCCACAGCTAGTTATTTAACATTGATTCTGTAAAGGATTTTCAAAAGTCGCGGCCACAGCTAGTTATTTAACATTGATTCTGTAAAGGATTTTCAAAAGTCGCGGGTACAGCTAGTTATTTAACATTGATTCTGTAAAGGATTTTCAAAAGTCGCGGGTACAGCTAGTTATTTAACATTGATTCTGTAAAGGATTTTCAAAAGTCGCGGCTACAGCTAGTTATTTAACATTGATTCTGTAAAGGATTTTCAAAAGTCGCGGGTACAGCTAGTTATTTAACATTGATTCTGTAAAGGATTTTCAAAAGTCGCGGGTACAGCTAGTTATTTAACATTGATTCTGTAAAGGATTTTCAAAAGTCGCGGGTACAGCTAGTTATTTAACATTGATTCTGTAAAGGATTTTCAAAAGTCGCGGCCACAGCTAGTTATTTAACATTGATTCTGTAAAGGATTTTCAAAAGTCGCGGGTACAGCTAGTTATTTAACATTGATTCTGTAAAGGATTTTCAAAAGTCGCGGGTAAAGCTAGTAAATATATTTAACATTGATTCTGTAAAGGATTTTCAAAAGTCGCGGCCACAGCTAGTTATTTAACATTGATTCTGTAAAGGATTTTCAAAAGTCGCGGGTAAAGCTAGTTATTTAACATTGATTCTGTAAAGGATCTTCAAGCCAGATTCTGATACATCAGGATTCAAATGTAAATAATTATTTACCACGTTTAATAGATGATAATGGAATGGGGCACCAGCCGGCGCTGACGGTATACGCTGGCGGGGCACCAGTGGAGGATGATAAGAGCATGAGGTCAGGTCAGTTAGACCATCGTGACAAATTCACTAGTAATTTGTCACATAGTATACATAGAAAACACCCAAAACAATACAATCATACTCTTAGAT